TAGCGATCGTTGACCATAGGCATCTTTTGGTTCAAAATTAACACCAGGTGATTGTTATTGAAGCCAAAGTAGTCATCATAGACTGTTCCGCAAACTCTGCACTCGCTAACCGATTGAATTGTGTAAAGTGAGTCCGAATGAACCGACACTTATTTACATCCCAACTGTGACGAATGTTCTTTTCGGAATGCGAATATTTTTGTCTCCGTTTGGCCTTCTCTCAACCTGAATTTCACCCTTCCCATCAAAGCTGAACTCATACGCGAGTGCAAGAATCCACCAGTGGAAAAAAAAAAAGCCAAAAATATCCGAGGCTTCTGGTCGGAGTTAGAAGGTATTGTTTGCTTGATTGTTGCGCGTGGATCGGAGCCACAACTGTAGAAATCAACACTGTTTGCATTCCGTCAGTGTCACAACGGTGGAATCTCCCGGATTTCGTGTCTGCCCGTGAAATAATGGAGAACAGATTCGGGTATCATCTGTCAGTGTTTAGGCCTTCGTGCTTTCCTCCGCAGCTCATTGCTTTCTTTTACGCGTCGTGACAGATGGGACGAGTGGATATATTCGGTCATTGGCGTCGCTGCCGCAAAAACGAAAGGGCGACTTTAGGACGTATAAGATGCTGGCATTTAGAGAAAAAAATAATAATTTTTTTAACAGTCCAGAGAATCGCCGTTTATTGTGTGTGTGTGTGGGGGGGGGGGGGGTGCGTTCCAGACTTTGACTACGATTGGTGAAAATCAACTCGGAAGCGACACACCTGTTGCTGGACTGAGACAATTGTTGTCCTCAGCCCAGTTTAACCAGAGCTACGATGTTCTATTTTAAAGTCCTTGCAGAAGTAACAATCTCTCCAACAGAATGCCCAAAATAAACTCAAACAAAGGATGTGCTCTGCAGACCTTTTTTTTTGAAGAAGTCAGCTGGCGTGTCTCGGCAGAGGCCTGTGATTTTGGTTGGCGGGCTGAAAGGGGAGCAACGTCGCATGGCAAGTGCGGTGACAAAAGCAAACTCGTCATGACGCCCTCGATGACATCAAACCGATCGGCGTCGATACCGCGTCGGCCGATCACAACACGAATTGGTTGCTGCCGTTTTTCCTCTCGGATACTGTTCGTGAGTCTACGCAGAATATTGTTGGAGCCTGAGAACAGACGTTGTCGGAACTCCATTTTGGAATGCGGTGGGCCTAGATTCAGATTTCAGAAATGTGAATATACAGTATGGACGGGATTTTTTTTTTTGTGTGTCTTGAAAGAGTGCTTCATGTCTTGGTCACATCTCAGCTGGATGACTGTAATGCCCTTGACTTTGGAGTCAGCCAGTCCTCCATGAAGCATCTCCAGTTGGTCCAAAATGCCGCTGCTCGCCTCTTGACTGGTACTCGTAAGAGGGAGCACATCACTCCTACTCTGGCATCCCTTCACTGGTAGCGGTACGGAGAACTAAGCGGAGAGGGGATCCGATTAAACCTTTTCCGTTGCTGGTCGCTCTCTTTGGAATGGACGTTTGGCAAGCCCCATCGCTGCCCTTCTTTAAAACCCATCCTCAAACTCATTTTTATTCTTTGGCTTTTGACTCAGCATGTACAAATCCTTGAGGTGAACTGAAGGGCTGTTCAATGGAGGGGGCTGGGGGCTATGTTTCTCTTTATTAATCGCATTATAAGCCTCTTAGCATTTTTTCCGACGTGACCCCACAAAATTGCGCCGAACTGCAATATTCCCGTTTTGAAGCAAAAGCATGTGAGCAGGGCCAGGTTTAGAGTCGGTGTCGTAAACGGTGCGCCGATAGGGTTGCTGTCATGATAAGCGCCCCCCGCGGGTCTCGTAATCTTCCCGTCTCAGGTCTGGTTTCTCCCACGGCTGATTTGCGTGCCACACATCTGTCGACGGGATGTTTCCCTTTCGGCGAGTTGGAGGTTTTTGCTCATGTTTTCTCCAAAGTTGCGGTCAATCTGCAGCCCCGATGTCTCTGTGATCTGTCCGTCTACGACATTTGTTGCGCTATACTTGATGCCCACTTATTACTCAATCTGCCGCTGAGCCAGAGCCGTTCAACCAACCCGGTTGCCTCATCCTCTATGTACCTATTTATTGATTTCAGAGAAGCAGATGAAGTCTATGATGGCAGCTACTGAAAACTTCTGTTTAAGGGTCTGACCTCAAAACAGTCAATAGTTTTTTCCACTTTGTATTGTTTTTCGCTAATGATCCAGCAAAATATCCAGACACCATCTGTTCTCAACGCAATAGGGGACTGAGAATTAGCTTGGCCACAATCGGCTCTGAAATGTAACTACAGCAAAATGGTCTCGGCGTGATCATAAAGTGCTTGGATTGTTGTTGACACGCCTTCTTGATGATGTCGGCGTGCATCGCCAAAGGCCACAATGTCTGCTCCGAATGGCAATAAAGCTCCCTTTTTTTTTTTTTTTTTTTTTAAGTAGGCCTCTCACATTCTGCAGATGCATTGAAAATATCAGTGTTAAGAAGGGAATATCTGTTTTTTATTTATTTTATTTTTTTTGGGGTGGGGGAGGTACATCTACCCAAATCTTCATCCGCGGATGCTCCTGACCCAGATTCCGACAGACGGTAACAGATCCATCTCAGGCAACGTTGGTGAAGAGACATCATTAAGACTTCCTGCTCGGATGATAGCGAAACATGAGAATTCTCCTCGGAGGACAGATATGTATTTTACATTAGCAGAGCTGCCATAATCTGGAAGACTTGCAGATGTCCTGGAGTGACGACAAGCTTTTGGTGTTTGGCCCCTCCGTCTTCCACCCAACGCGGGTCGCTCTTCCAATTCGAGTCGACGTATCAAAGCCGCACGTTATCCAACTCAAACTGCATGTGTCAACGGAATAATTGCGCCGCGTTCCTCCTTGTTGCATCAGCTGTGGCTCGCGTTGAAATCGTAGGAAGGAGAAATTTGATGCCGGATCGATGTCAGTTGTTTGGAAGTTGCGCTCGCATCCGTTTTGAAGCACAGTCTGTTGTTTTCGCTCGGTTAGCCGTTCATCTCAATCGTTGCTAACGGGGCGAGAGAAAATGTCACCACAATTCTCAAGTCCTCTGTGCTAGCTTACAAGCTAACTCACTGCTAGCTTAAGTATCCCAAGTGGAAACGTGATGTTTTTTGTCCGGTGGACGATTCATGTAAACTTTGTTGTTGCAGCGAAAAATCATCATCAACTTCTCTCCCATAGATTTTGGCATTTTGTGTACATTTCTTGAGCTTATTTGCCATTGTAACTTTTCTACTACAGAAATGAATAATCCTGTACTTGCATGTAATTCCTCAAGTTATCCTTATGATGTCATTAAGTATCTTGAGCTCAGTTTTTGTGTGACTTCGTCTGAGTCAGAAATGTAAGGCTTGATCCTGTTGATTGTCAGTTGTTTTAAAGATGTGTTCATTCAAGTTTTGAAGGACAATATGTTCTTCCCAATCGGTTTTAGTGTTCCAAATGTTTCGTCTCTATCGCCGATCACATGGCAGTAGCAAACTTGAAGTTCTCAATGAATTCTTTAAGCTAGCTTGCAAGCTAACTCTTTGTGCCCAGACATGGACGTGAAGCTAAAAAATTTTTTTGTCCACTTCATGGAAATGACAAATGAAAATCCATTTCAATTCAGTTTGCTATTATTAAAAAGTGTTATCTTACTTCCGCTAATGTAAATTCCTCCCGCTAGCGAGGTAGAAAATGGCTGTAGCTCGGTAACTAACCTCAAGATAGGATTGCTTATGTTGTCATTACGTTTACTGAATGTATTCGACACGGCTTCTGTTACACATTGAAAGGAATCCTCCTTTACAATGCTTTGATTGGACAGCGTGATTACGTGTAACGCCTGAAGCCAGCGGTCTCATAATATGCTGACCTCGGTTTTATTTCTTCAGTCTTATTTTACAATCAGGTTGCGCGGTTCACATTTATTAGCAACCAGCTGCAGTTCAACTTAAAGCAACTTACGGCTGAGGGAGTTCCTCCCTATTCTATTCCGTGCTCGGAAAAAGACTTTCAAACAACCGGCTCTTGTAAATGTTGATTTTCGTTTGCACTGGGACCCTTCTGATGTGGTTCATGTTCTTTCCGAAACTGCACTTTCCAAAGTATTCCCAGAATTGTGCCGCGGAATCTGGCACGGAGTGAAATTTGGCGACACTTGACCCAAACATTGTATTAATGACACCATTCCGGGCTCCTGTACACTGCAATACCAGCGATTGCCCGATATCCATCAATTAGTCACACGGGATTGGTTTTCAGTCGTTTGGATTACATGACTTGAATCCCATTCCTGGAAATGAGCGCTACCAATCCGCTCGCCAAGCATAACATGAGCGCGAAAGTCAGATCCACTCTAAACGCTGCCATGTGAAGAGACAATCTTTGAGAGAGAGCTCACTCCGGCCATGCCTGACAGGATCACGAAGCGTCTGCAGTTGGTCCAAAATGCCGCCGCTCGCCTCTTGACTGGTACTCGTAAGAGGGAGCACATCACTGCTACTCTGGCTCCCATACATTTCTTTTTTTTAGTTAGTTAGTTAACTAAGATAGTTAACTAAGATAGTTAACTAACTTTTTAAGATTCTATTCTATGTTTTTAAATCTTAGAATGGTCTCGCCCCACCTTACCTCTCAGGTCTGCAGAGCAGACACTATTTGAGGTACCGAGAACTAAGCGGAGGCTCAGAGGTGATCAAGCCCTTGCCGGTCGCTCTCTTTGGAATGAACGTTCGGCAAGCCCCCTCGCTGCCCATGTTTCAAACTCATTTTTATTCTTTGGCTTTTGACTCAGAGTGAGACTTGATTTTTAGTTAGACGGATTTTGTCCTTTCTACTATCTTTATTTATTTATTTATTTATTGGGGGGGAAATAATAATTTTTGCTCCACGTGCAGCACTTTGTATACAGCGTTGGCGGTTTTAAAGAGCTCTAGAAATACAGTTGAGTTGATTGTTCCTCTTCTCTGTCTCACTCTAGCTGCCTCTGAGGGGAGAGTCAACGGCGGGGAGGATTTCTTTCAGAAGGTGAGTGTTGTCCACACGTGGTTGTTTTGCTTGATCATCTTTGGGTTTTGTTGTTGCCTGCTGAGTGTCTTCTCTGTCGAGCGTGGGGGCACTGGGGGCTGACGTACAAATGTCAGGTGCCATGTCCTGTTGTTCCTGATTACAAATTCAAACAAAACACAAAGCGACGGCACCGACACTGACCGCTGCGGGCCGCCGCGCTCTGATTTTTTTTTTTTTTTTTTTTTTCTCCCGTCACGCAGCTGACACAACAGGCGGGACTTTTTCTTACTTATGTAACGGAACACTTAAGTACACACGTACGCGTTGTGAACGTTGCCGACACGTGCGTCGATTTTGAAGATGGAGTTCTCGACGAGCGCGCCCGCTCTGCCTCATTGACTTCATCGGTGATTTGGGTAATTTTCTGAAACTTTTGAGGGCATGAATATTTTGAGGCCAGCAACTCTTATCATTGTACGACTTCCTCCAATCTTTTATCGGTTAGACAGTGTGCATTGATTTATTGAACGAAGGACCACCACAAAAAAAAAAAAAAAACACTTGGAAAGGAAATCACCAGCATCCAAAGTGTTCATCAATCACAAGACTTGAGTTTTATTTCTCATTTTATTGAAGACCACGGAAACATGAGCCCCAACGGTCACATTCGCACCTCCGGACAATTTCGAGTCTTCAAAACTGTGCTTGCCCGACGGTACTTTTTCAGCTGCTGCAAAACGGGGCACTGTTGCGAAACCTTCCCAGTAGTTGGAGGTCATTTCAAAAGATTAGCGGTCACGGCCACTGGTTGGAAATTGCAACCAGTGTTGCTTGGCGTTATTACTTCAAATGTTTCGGATTGGATCCCGTTTGCAATTCTCAAGGTTCTTGTTCTGACTGCCAATGACTGAGAGAGCACTTGAAGGTTCAGATGAGGTGGGTCCAAAAAAATGAGACACGGTAGCGCAAGGGAAAAGAGATTTGGGCAAGCTTGCGAGTTGGTACAAGTTTGGTTGAAAATTTTCGCTCCTGGTACGTGCTCAAATGCGGCGCAAAAACTTTGGGGGTTGAAATCGCCGCGACGCTTCAGCACATTTTTCCCGGACCTCAAAGGATTAACTTTGCATTTTTGCTGGATCGTTGGCTTTTTCGGGGTTGATTTTTATGACTGCAGTACTTGAATCGGGACCTTGACTTGACATGGAGAAATAATCTCTGAAAATTGGATAAACGTCGGGCGGTAGAATTACCGGTACGGGCAAGAACTGCTTTGGACATGGGGGAGTTGACGGCCAAATCTCACATTTCCAGGCAGGACGAATGGACGGCTTAATCCTGTCGTGTTGAAACAATTTTGTTGAAAATGGAGGAATTTGGTCAGCCCAATGTAATGTCATAGGTGTCAAAAACCTCTGAGGGCTCCTGTCAATGAACTTTTTGGACAATCGTTTTCATTGTTTTACCAGTCTTCTCCGTTTTAAGTAATTGCTACAGATTGATGCAGAACGGAGAAGGAAGTTTAACCGTTCCCCGATGCGCATTTCTGAAGGCAAATCATGCCTCTGAATGGCATTTTTGACTCGCACTCGACACTCTTGGCATCTGCCCACCTTTTATTTCCAAGTTGAAATATCGTACGTGAGCCACAGAGCCGTTTGGAGATAATCTGCTTGGAGTTGGGTCAACTTTGCCCCCCACTCCCTCCCTTCACCTCTCAAGTTCTCAAGACCTCAACATGGTAGTCGGGGCTCAAGGTTAAATCGTCAGTTTGAAATTAGCGACGGGCTGTTTGACTTGGAAGACCGCAGAAGAGCAGGTTTTCATTCAAGTGCACCATTTCCATTTGCGTGCAATTGCCCCTCGGATCGCGTGATCCGTGGCCGTGGCCCGTTCAAGGCTGCAAAATAAACACGGCTTTGGACCGCGCGACGCTTTTGTTGAGCCGAAAGGAACGAGGTGCATGTGTGCGCGATACCCTGAAGTTGACGGAAAAAAATGGAAAGTGTTAGTTTGACCGCTTCCTGCCGCCCTTGCTGGGCTCGGCTAATGAATGGCATAAGACTTACTCCGCACGCTGGACTTTTTGTCGAGGTGCCGCAGTTGCCGGAAGAGTTAGAGGTCGAGAGCGCCCACCCCAAAAAAAAATCCACCCCCGCACTTTGTCCCCAGGCCCAGTTGCTCGCTCTTACTCACCGTCTACTAGACTTCCTTTGAGTCCAAAGCGGCAGAAAACCTCAAGCTGTCAACACAAAACCAGCTTGGCCCCGGAACCCTTTCGCGCTTCTCCGTCCCGACACTTTGGTTCTGTAAAGAAGGCCGGGCCTGATGTTGAAGTGCCAAATCACGAGCAAGTTATTCTCGTTGGGGCCGAAATACAAGCGTGCGCACGCCAGCCACTTCCCTCGGTAGCCCTTTGCAGTCGAATGATTGGCAGGCGTAGCCTTGTCGCGCCGGTTGGTTAGCCATCATGTTAGCATTAAGCTAGCGGATTTTCCTGTGTCAGTTTTGTGATTTGGTTAAATACTGAATGGGTAATTCTCTTTGGTTTATATTACGCTCATTTTAAATGATATTATGACAAAGGCGAGGCACAAACTTTTTATGAGAGAGTATTTTAATTTGGTGGCAGGCTGTGAGGTTTTCCTGTTGCACCTTCGTTCAGTAAAGGTTGGCTAGCTAACGCCCTCTTCATACAGCTCAAATGTCAGCACGACGGAACGTGTGGTTGGTGAGATGCTAGTGTGCGCCTTGATCACTCTCAAGGTGCCCTTGAGCAACCGTTTTAATGGAACGGGAGAATCTGTCGCCGAATTGCTTGCGGTGCCATTGTGGTATTGAAACACGCATCTTGCCTGGGAGTCGACGTGGATTTATACGGATGGACCTCAAACCTCTCAAAGCTGACTTCAAGTTGTCTTCTGTAGACTCGTTCAGAGGGAATCGAGAACACCTTTGGCAAGTGACATGCTGGCAGTTTAGCATCCACCCAGTGGTTTTTTTTGGGGGGGGCTAGGGGGCGGCTGGAACAGATTACTGGAGTGCCATTTCAATTCATTCCAGTGGGGGAAAATCGATTAGATCCACTGGCAAATTGGGTTACAAGCTTGGTCACAGAAGGAATTAAACTTGTAAGTCATATTAGGGCCACACTGATATTTCGTTTTATTATATATATATATATATATATATATATAAGGGATTTAACGATTCACTCAAGCCCCGATTTGCTTCAATTTTCGATGTTCAGTTCCCGATTGCAATTACATTTTCAAGAATCATTTTGCAAAAGTCATTTTATAACCGACGGATATTTTTCTTTTAACATCCGCATTTTTGTCCTTGTTGCAAACCGTGACATGAAAAACAAAAACTGGAAAATGAACTCATCATTTTGACTGTTAATCTCCATGATGTAGCTGAGATTTGACTGTTGTCATTGCAACTCCCAAAATTTCAAAATTGATTCTATTTTTATTTTCTATATATATTTTTTAACATCAATGCATATTTTAGTAGGTTTAAATCGATTATTTTTTTATATATGTGCTGTCCTTAGTGACATGGCGTAATAACGGGCCTGTGAGAGGATGGAGTATGATGTCATTTACACGGAATTACGTTCTATCAGCACTGCATCTCTGTTACGCGCCACCCACCCACTCCGACTGCGTTTAGTGTTTCATGCGTGAATAAGATTTTATCGGTATTGACTTGGTCGTGGGACCACGACGTTATCCCAGGGAGCGAAGACAATGTCAGAAACGCTTGTTGTCTCGAATCCAAACCGTCAACTGCATCGTTTCTGGTGATGCCGCCTCGAGGTCTGCTCACCACATCTTAACAACCCCCCCACCTCCCCCAACAGTCCTCTGCGTCCCGCTGCCTCACACACACACACACACACACACACACACACAGACACACACACACACACAGACACACATTCCAGCTGAAACAACAGCTGCACCATCGCCGCGCGGGCCAGGAGGAAACATGCCTCTGCCATGTTGATTGTTACAGCGATATATTACGTGCAAGCCGACGGTCGTACATGACCACGTGTGTCCAACACATGTGCTGCCTTCCAGTCTGGGCCTTTTTTTTTTTGGGGTGTGTGTGTGAGGCGGGGGTACGGGTGGACGTTTGATTTTGCTCACACAGCAGCTGGAAACGTCTCGGAGCCAATCATCACGTCAAGGCCGCGCGATGGAACCGATCAGCAGCGACGTTTTCTATTTATGCATTCCGCAAAGGGGCGTCGGCAGAGTAAGGGCGTTCGAGGCATAGGTAAAGGAATTTGCGCATCGGGCGAGTTGTCCGTGAGTCCTTTCATCGAAAATAAACGGAGTCCGCCCATTCAAGCAGTGTGTGGTCTTGTCCGAAATCAGTCCCATCTGCACACCGCCGCCAAGAACAGCAGCGCTGAGCAGGAAATGTCTCTCCCGCTTTCTGAACAAGGACCTTTTTGAAAGACGTCCCTTGGCGGAGCAAAGCGCGGGGAGACTTTGGGGGAAGTCATCGGCGCCGCCGCGGCCTTTTGAAATGCACTTTTCATCATGGGACGCTTTGTCCTCCATTCATCCATTTTTCTATTGTCCCCAATAAAGTCATCAGTGAACTGGCGTTATTTATCCCGGCTGATGTTAGACAAGAGGCGGGGTACCCACTGGGTGCACCCCGGACCGGTCGCCAGTCACCATTCACACCCACATTCTCCATCGGCGGGCAATTTCCAGTGTCCAGTGAACCAGGCAGGCATGTTTTTGAACCGCGTCGGGAGATGGGAGACATAAACACCGAAAGGGTCAGAGGCGACATTTGAACCCTGGAACTCAGAATTGTGAAGGAGGCATCCCGGATGTCCCGCCAGCCAATCGCAGGGCACCTCCGGACGTTGACCAACAGCCACTCACATTCTCAGTTAAGGACAATTGGGAGTCTTCAGCGAACCTAACTTGCATGCCTTATGGAATGTTGGAGGAGGTCCCCAGAGAAAACCCACACAAGCAAAGTGGGGGGAAAAGTGCAAAGTCCACACAGGAAGTCGAGATTCGAAACCAGAACTCAATAAACTTGACAGATCATTGTTAGCAAAGACCTTTTTTTTATTTCCTGATTCACCAATGCCTCAAACAACCTACTCTGTCATATTGTATCTGTTGTTGGTATCGACAGCCACCGCGAACACTCGATGCATTGGAATAAGGCCCGGTATCGGCACGATAAAAGTATCGATTCTCTTCCCCGATGTCAATCAAAAAGTACGATCTATGAACACGCAGCCTCAAAACAACATCAAGCACCTGCGACGAACGCCTTCCGAAATGTGCCTTGGCTTGGACTGTGTTGCTCTTCTTTAGGTTGTCTTCCAAATTGCCAAGGAAGTCTCTCTTTCTTTTTGGTTTTAAATTCCACACTTTAGGACACACGCCATCTGTCATGGTTACAGAGGGCTGGCGAAAAACAGCGATGTGCAAGAGCGAAGCAAATATGCGAGTACATTCCACCTCGTGGCCGCTGGCTTCGTTTTTAATGATGAAAAGCTTTATTTAGCCACAGAGGTATTTATCTCTTATCCTGCTTGACATGCGGCGCACAACAGCGATGTTGGAGATTAGCGGCCCGGGCCTCGGGCCATTATGGAAATGATCAGCGTTTTGTTTTCAGACCCAAACGCTCGGAAAGGCCGACCTCGGTGCCGCCACTGACGCTCGTTGCCGCCAGGAGACTTTGTTGCCGGGGAATTAACTAGGAAACGTTTGTTTCGACGCGACTCCCTCGTCTGTTCTACTTTGGAATCGGCAGCATGGCCAAATGGAATCCACGCGGGAGGAATTCTGCTCTCTAATCATTCCATAATATTGTTCAGGAAAAGTGGGGGGGGGGGGCTGTTTGTTTGTTCGCAAATTGTGCCTTCTTTTCATTCCGCATTATCACACCGAAACAGAGCTCCATGTTGCATTTACTCCAACGAGGCTGTAACGTCACCTTCAGCCTCACGTTTCACAACGCTTGCCGGTTATGTTCTATTTTCATTTTTAGCGTTACCAGAAGACAACTGTAATGTCCACAGATGCCAATCGCTTCCAAAAGAGCAACTCGGGCGACGTTTGATGTGATTTCAGAGCAAAGCAGAAACTTTGCTGTGAATTCATATCGCCGATGCCTTCTGAGCGGCCCGCTCTGCTCCCCGTCCACTTTTCACGCGACTGACCGCAGAGCGTGTCTGCAACCTTGACGGCACTTGCAGCCGACCGTCACGCTAAGTGGCGCTCGCGCGCCGCCCTTGGGAAGGACACGCCGTCAGTATGTCTTCAACTTGATGCCTACCAGGCTGGGCTGCTCGATCAAAAGCAAGCGGTGGCATTAAAGCACTTCCCGTTTTCATTTTTCATTTGAATTCTGATTCATTTGGCATTTGTGCAATAAAAACTAAGCAGATTGAGCAACTGGTTTTTAATCGATCTTTGGTGGCTGGTGTTTTTTTGTTTTTTTTTTTACCCCTCTGAAATTGACGTCAAAGTGCCTTCGGGCTCGCATTGCTAACTTCACAGCTCACTTGTTGTTGAATCTGCTGAATTCTTATCCCACAAACAGGATAGTAAACAGAATTTAGGCTCGTTGTCGAACATCGAGTTCCTCATCCAGAAGCGGGGGGGGGATGTGAATTATTATCATTATTGTAGCACCGTTGCTAATCTCTCCCGCTAATCTTGACAGGGCGCACTTTTAAAGGACAACACCGCGCTCATTCCTTCTTGCCGCGACCGCTGAGGAATATGAAGTAGTTTTACACTGTGCTCGAGTGTCAGACATGGGAGCACTTTAGAGAAATTCTTGCCTTTTTCACCCCAAAGTTGCCAGAAAGTATGAAAACAAAGAGAGAGAGTATAGCAGCCTTTTTTTTTCCTCCCCAACTTTAAGTTCTGATTTTATTATTTTTTTTCTTCTCTCCTTCCTCCCCCCTCCGCTATAACTTCTGGTGAGCAAACTCTCGAGAGATTTGTCTGTGGATTTGTAGCCAGAGAGCCCGGCAAGGCGAGCTTTCCTGTGGTTGGAAGGCAGAAGCGGGCGGTTGGAGGTTTGCTTTCTCAACGTCGGCGCATGTGCTCGCGCTTACGACGACTGGACATGTCAAAAGGCAGATTGGCCATGGTGTTTTTTCACATGTAGACAAGCCAAAGTTTGGGGGCTCTTTTTTTTTTTTCTCTCCACTGCCTCACATCAGACTACCTATTGGAACTGGATTTGGTCGCAGTTGACTTTTGCATCTTCGATAGCTAGCTCCGTTTATGTGTTGCGACTCAGTGTGTGTTTAGGTAGCAGTTTGAAGATTTTCAACCCCCCTGGACATCAATTCTCTTTTATATATTAGCGATACGGTAGTGGATGTCCTTTGATAAAATTATATGATTTGATTTAGCATTTTTTTTTTAAAGTATAAGGTCTGACCAATTAATTGGCAGGCCGATTTAATTGACCTAAAAAATCGCTCTTTTAAAATCAGTCCAAATTGGCAGATTTTATGCTGAGCACTTTTGTTTTTACACTTCAATACATCACAACATAAGACATTCAGATATTCCCTCGCCACCCAAGAAATCGGCAAAAAAGTTTTGATTTTTCTCTCTTGTAAAGGACAAAATATTGTAAAAGAGTCAAATGTTCTTCCTTCATATCTTTGTTATGATGCCCCCCAAAAAGTTAATTTATTCAATTTTTTTAAATTAAATCATCTATTTAATTGATTATCAGATTTTTGTTTGTTCTCTTCTGTTCATAAGATATTTAATCTGCAAAACTCCAGGTGAATATTTTTATTTTGAAAAGGCCTAATACTGGCCAATCAGCACTACTGAGATGTATTATGCGCTTTTCAAAAAGAATAACAAACCTTTCAAGACGAGTTTGTTCGGCCCTGACGCACCATATGACCTTTGTTAATGTTAATTGTGTTGCAGATTATGGATGAAACACAAACGCAGATAGCCTGGCCTTCCAAGCTGAAGATCGGAGCCAAGTCGAAAAAAGGTGAGACTGGCCCCTCCTTTACCTCTCGCACAGTGTGCCACTTGAATGGACGTCTGAAATTTTTTTTTTGGGGGGGGGGGGGTAACTGCTGAAACAATACACAGGTTGATGTAGAATTTGCTTTAAACTGAATTTGGATGGGCGCTGTCAGAGAGATTTTAAGTGAATGATAATATTCATTATTCTGGCTGTGGCACTGTATTATTTGATTCTTAAATTGTACCCCTCCCATGTGTCAAATTAAGGCATCCATAATATAATAACGCCGAGATTGTGGAGTTCTGCACCATTGCGAATGACACACAACACTAAACACCTCGCTGAATGATTTACGATCGTCGAGGCAATTTTTTTTTCACCCAGTTTAAAGAAGTGTATACAACAGAAACACATGGCTCAGAGTCTTGTTTTTGCATAACCCCAACATCTTGTGGTAACAGCAATAACCGCTTCCTAAAATCCACATGTTGTCCTCGCGTTTCCTTGCCCTAAATACCTTAATTAGCCAGCGTGGTTCAAAGCACTGCGTTTTTCTCGGGGAAAACAGAGGGCATCAAACGATGAGAAAAGAGGTATTTCATTCATGACTATGCACGTTGAATCCAATTCAATGCCGTTTAAGACCACGTCAGAGGAACTATAATTCATTTTTGACGTAAAAACAAAGTGTTCAGGGAAAAAGGTCAAAGCGACTGCCTTCCCGTAGGGGGTTACTGCTTCTTAAGAGCTTACCCAATTTTTTGTGAGAGACCCCTCCCATGGTGGAGGGGGAAAAAATAGCAAGTGTGTACTAACTGTTTTAATGGTGCGTGGTTTACGTCACAAACACAGCACACCACACACACATACACACACACAATGATTTCTACAGGGCATTCAGACAAGCGTGGTAGAAGAAGAAGCTAGGCTAGCTGTAGCTAGCCGGTTTCCAGCTGTAGTTCGCCCAGTCACACTAATGGATAGGAAAAGATAGCCGTAGCTAGCCGCTAGATCGCTGCTACTCTGATGATGTAACTGTTTTAGCAATGGAACGCCTTCTTTCACTAATCAGATTTCAAATTCATGCTGTAGCCGGTTGTTAGCTGGAGCTAGCCAGTCACACTAATGGATAGGAAAAGATAGCAGTTGCTAGCCGATAGCTAGCTTCCACTCTGCTAATGTAACTATTTTAGCAATGGAATTCTTTCATTAAATAATGAGATTTCAAATTCGTCTTCAATGACATCTTATTTTCCCGTCAGGTGATTAATTGGTATTGCGTTTTTGCGAAGTATTGTTTATTTTTTTGTTGTTTTGTTTTGTTTTTAATCGTTGCCACGTGATACCGGTGTTACTCAAAATTGGTTTAAGTCAGGCAAGTCCCAACTGAAGGCCCAGGTACCAAATGCGCCACCCGCTACTGTCTTTTGAAGACTTTGAATTGATTTTGAGAATGAATATGATGAACGGTTGTTTGTCCGGATGTGCCATGTGAGTGGCTCGCGATGGATTCAGGGTGTCTTAGACTCCAGAAAACCTGCGACTCTCGCAAGCACAGGAGTTATTCAAAAAAAAAAAAAAAAAAAGAATGGATGGAATCCGGGCGGGTGGGCGTCACTTCCAACAAGAGCCCCGGTGTTCATTAGTCAGTTGTTCCACTGCTCTGTTCCTCATAAAACATGATGGCTCTCATTTGGAGCTCGTCCAGTGGGCGTGCCGATCGGCGAGCTTCCACACGGAGTTGTGGCCACGCCCACTTTGTTGTCCACAGGAGAACTGCCAATGTGAGCCCTCAGGCCAGATGTGCAATCCAACGGCATTATGTAACTTCCTGACTCACTCGCAATAGATGTTTGACAAAATGACATAAGAAGTCGTCTCACACACAGGAGTACGCCGTCACCACCTGGCACGCGTGTTCTGTGTGCTAAATTGACGTTTTAACCTTCGCGTGAAGCGTCGAGTGTTTTCCGGAGTGGCGTCATCATCCCTTCTCCCTTAAACATGTTGGACGGTGCCTTCCGGTTATGAGCACGTGTTCTTGGAAGAAGACGTGAGAAGCAGAGTGACCGCACGTGAACAAACTGGTCTAAGGGCAAAATAAAAGGGGCATGATGCATCATCTGGTGCTTAAAAAAAGACCAGCGGTAAAAGTAAAAATTTTAAAATATCAGCGCTGTCCAATGAAAACAAATATTCTTAAAAATATATATAAAATAAATACAGCTGTCATGTGATTTTGCACCAGAAATGTAATTGTATCTTTTTCTATCCATTAGTGTGTTGGTTCATGTGTTGAACAGGGCTCTATAAACATTTATAGCAGAAAGCATTTCTTAAATAATGAATTACATTTAAAAAAAAAAAGAAACATCTTGCTAACATCGCATAGCACTTGACCACGGGCTCCATTTTTGTGACCAAATCGTGCGCAGTACGTGACTGGAAAACCGATTCGGGTCATTTCACAGATGTGCGCAGGCGGACCTGCGAGAGGGAGGGCTGCGCCACTGTGGGAGTAGGATTTAATTTAATTAGACCGTGAATCTCGGTAAAACAGGACCACGTGTAGTTTAATTAAATGCCAGAATGTGAATTTTGCTTTTGTTTTCGCTGTTGTAGATCTTGATTCTTGGAGCATTAAAAAAAATGTTTATCTTTGTCAAAAAGCACATTTTACAAAAAGGCTTTTACCCAAAGTTCCCACCAGTCAGTGACTGACTCAGCTACGACTCACTGATGACGTGATGCGCCGGACTGCGTGTTATTTTTGCGAGACATTTTTTCCGTAACTTTGCGCCGTGGTCGCCTTTCACAGCGAGTCTGGAAACAGTTTCAAAGTCGGCAGGCAAGCGGCAGATGTTTGTCACCGTTCCCCAAGCGAGGATTGCGCCCGATCAAAATGTGAGCTTGCCTGTTCCAATTATTGCCTACGTGCGTCTCTGCCACCTGCACGGCCGCGATAAGGCCAGACGTTCACCTCATCGTGTGCGTGCATGTGAACCCTCAGTGATTTTAATACTCCAAGGAAGCAAATAACACACATGAAGTCTGCTCTCTGCACGTGTTGCAAAAGTCAATTTCTGAATTAAATTTTTTTTAAAAATCGAATTGTGATAAAAAAAAAATTAAATGAAGCAATATGTAAACATTCTTCACCAAAATTAAGCAGAGATTATTTTTTTTCTCCCAAAATTGCTGAAAGTTGAAAATTGCATCTTACTACATTGAGATATCAAGTTACTTGTTCAGTTGTACTACCTGGCCGTCACTTTATCTTGTGTGTTCCAAAAGTGTTTATATCATTTAAAATATAAATGCAGTCTTACCTTGACTGATGAGGATCACAGTGTTTTTTAATAGAATAATGAAGGTACTATAAAGAGATTGCTGAAAGTTGAAAATTGCATCTTACTACATTGCGATATCAAGTGACTTGTTCAGTCGTACTACCTGGCCGTCACTTTATCTTGTGTGATCCAAAAGTGTTTATATCATTTAAAATATAAATGCAGTCTTACCTTGACTGATGACGATTACAGTGTTTTTTTAATAGAATAATGAAGATACTATAAAGGCGCTCTCTGCACGTGTTGCAAAAGTCAATTTCTGAATTAAATTTTTTTTAAAAATCGAATTGTGATAAAAAAAAAATTAAATGAAGCAATATGTAAACATTCTTCACCAAAATTAAGCAGAGATTATTTTTTTTCTCCCAAAATTGCTGAAAGTTGAAAATTGCATCTTACTACATTGAGATATCAAGTTACTTGTTCAGTTGTACTACCTGGCCGTCACTTTATCTTGTGTGTTCCAAAAGTGTTTATATCATTTAAAATATAAATGCAGTCTTACCTTGACTGATGAGGATCACAGTGTTTTTTAATAGAATAATGAAGGTACTATAAAGAGACAAACTCAAAAATGAGGACACTTGCAAAGAGCTGCTGTAGACCACAGCTCACGCCCAGACACTCCCTTTCTTTCCACCTCTTAATTTTTTTTGTTTTTTTGTGCCATGTCCAAAACTGCTTTCCACTTGGTGTATTTGAATTAAATTTCCTCAAAAGTGCACGCGGCACATTCTTGTTTGACTTTTGTTATTCCAGCATATTCAACCCCTCGCCCCCGAAAAATGCCTCATCTGTCAATCTATCCATCACCATAGCAAACAAGATTTATCAAATATTATCAAATCAAATCAATTTAAGCTGAACATCAAACCTAATTCGTTTTGACAAGTTTTGTCAAAATTTCAGATCATTTGAGTTGAGAATTGGCCGACTACCAAATGCTTTCAAATCAATAAATAAAATGGAAATCCCGTAACATCCTCAGTTGAGAATTGGCCGACTACCAAATGCTTTCAAATAAATAAATAAATAAATGGAAATCCTGTAACATCCTGTACTTGCTCCTTATTAAATGTCTGAAAAACATGAAGACATACCTGTTCAAGTATGAAAAGACAACGATTTTTGAGGGCGCTTTGCATACTAGCTGTTTCCAGGAGTGAGCTGCGGGTCAAAAGCTTCCCTCTTTGTGTGACTGAAAGCTCTCACCTTCTGCAGCCTGAACGTCTGCTCTTATTTTTGTTTGTTTTTCTAGCTGTTGCGTGTGCCAAATTAAGCTGTTAGGTGCACATTTTTTACTCCCCCCCCCAAAAAAAAGCCTACGCCACACTTTGCTTCAAAAATGCGGGGGTGTTGTACATCACAACTGCAGGGCAGGCCGGATAATGTTTGCCAGATGTGCTCTTGCAGGTTAGAGTGGGGACACTGGAGGAGCGCCCTCTAACGCTCAAATGGGGTATTACTGGCGGGTATTCAAAGCTTTGTCATGCAGGAATGTGAAAGGCTTTTCTTTTTTTTTTTCTTTTTTTTTTTTGGTCATGTTTTCTGTCTCTCTGTTTCCATACACTTCGGAATTCCGTCGTCATCACAAATTGTTCTGCCCCGCCCAGACCCCCAAAGTGTAAACATGCGCTTCGAGAGATCCACAGAATGCAGAAGCGACGTCGAAACAATAAATGGGATTCAGTGCGGCTTCTCTGAAGGCCAGACTGTAAATCTGAGATACTGCGAGTGCTGTGTGTGTGTATGTATAAGGGAGGGAACGGGGATTCTTGGAAAGGGGTCTTAGAGGACTTCCTCAAGTGTATTTAGTGCGCAATTGTGTGTCACTGTGTGTGTGTGTTATTTCCACAGGGGCTCCTCAAGATGTAAGCATTAGCTGCCGTTGCTTTGTGTGGATATCTGAGAAGAAAGCGGTCATAAGTCCAAGGGGGTCCTCGCTTTAAAATGACTTTGGAGGCTTTGGGGTTACGCTATAAACTAGTTTGCGTTGAGGTGTCACGCCGCCATACTTAGAGGTTCTCATTGCCTGCCCTCTCTCGATTTTAACTCGTTTAGAGTTGAGCAGGTGACCCCAGGTGACCTCAGCAAACTACATACGTCAGGTCAAAAGTTTCCAGCAAATCACTGCAATGCAACTTGCGAATCTTATGGCAGCGTTGAGAGCGATTGGCTGGGTGATTGCCTTCCACTGGGCTCCTTTCTCGTCACAACGATTCGGGAGGTGTTGTCTGTTTCTTAGCAGCAGCAACTTTTTTCTTTCTTTCTTTTTTTAATTTATTGTATTTTTTTTTTTTTTTTTGAAAAATACTCATGAGGATGGCCAGAAAAAATTGCAAATATAGTAACCGAATTGCAAACTCGGTGAAACTGGCTCTGCTTTCGTAAATTAGCTCATCTGCTTGCAGCCATGTTGTTCAGCGAAGCAGCGTACATCAGCAGAATCGTTGAACAACAACGCCGTGTCGGAGTAGAAGTACAGACAAACAAACAAGGAAGAGCCTCACCCAATGCTTGGAAGAGACTCAATAATCAGCAGTAAGAGTACTCGTAGCTCGCAGAGGAGAAAGATGAAATATGTGCTCATTAAAGCATTGGAACACTGCCGTGTGATGCTCACTGCTAGCCTGTCTATGGTGTTTCACATTATGTGTTAGCATGAAGCTAGCAGATTTAAGTGATGTCATTCGTTTAAAGACACAACATGTGATTCTCTTTTGTTTGAAGTTTAGTTTGACGGTGAACTTCAACTGGAAGTGGCAGTTAACCTCCTGAATCCTATTTTATGAAGATTTGTTGACTTTCTACCAAATTGCTGCTTGTTGTGAAGTCAGCTGGGTTGAGTTCACGGCCACCAATACAGCGTATCTGAACATTTTGCTCACAAACAAAGCAAAAAAAAAAAAAGTGAACGACAGCCGGCCAGACTACTTGTTGATGCTGCTTCCTCTTTTGACTAAGTTTTGCATCAAAGCCAAAGAAAAAGCAAACCACATGTGCAGAAAATAAGCTTTCCTTCCTGTGTGTCTTGCAGCGGCAATACGAGGTTGAGCAGCGCGATATGCGCCACGTGATGTTTTGTGTTGTCTATTTAAGGTAAAATGCGACGCGCGGAGCAATAATTTCAGCTCAGACGTCACCGAATGACAGACCGATCGGCCGAGTATAAATCCACCGAGTGGTGGCGGACGCCCCGCCGCACCCTCCCGCCGTCTCCCCCACTTTCTCACATGCCACCGCGGTTGCAAGCAGACTCAGAATGCCAGCGTGCTCTTATCAAAAGCTGCAATTATCGTGGCTGGGCTTTTCGGCCCCGCTGCAATTTCTCGATGGTGGCAGACTGCGAGGACATGCTCGGGCCTGAGCGGCCATGTTGTGTTTACGTTGTCACCCATTGTCCTGACCCGCCCTTTCTTTCTCTGTCTCTGTCTATCTGTCTTGCTTTCTCTGTATATTTCTGTCTCTTTCTGTTTCTGTCTTTCTCTCTGTCTCTCTGTGCTGTGCAGATCCTCATATCAAGGTGTGCGGCAAGAGGGAACACGTCAGGGACGCCAAAGAGAGAATTATGTCAGTGCTCGATACAAAGGTAAATATCGAGCTGCATAAATATATATATCATTAATTTTATTTTTTTTGGGGGGCGGAGGGGGTTGTCCAATTACATTTCAGCCTGTTTGTTGCCATGCCAATCTAATCTGCCCAGGGCTTTCATAATCATTCGTATTGGTTGGTGTAACTTAATTTTTTTCCCCTCAATCAGAGTCCAAATTGGCCCTCATGGGGTCTTTGATGACATCATCATTTTTCTGTTCTCTGATGAGTTGGACAGAGCAAAATGTGTTCCAGTCAACATCAGTTCGCTAAACAAATCTATTAAGCATTTAATCATCAGCACAGCTGGTGAGTCGAATGTATATCTATTTTTTTTTGAAGTGATGTTTTTGCTGCTTCAGCTTGATGTATATAAGTGTGTAAATCCTCACTGAAGAAGGCCCAGGTACCAAAACAGAGCGCCCGCCACTGCCTCTGGGTACAATTTCCCCACATAGGGACAATCAGACGTGCAGGTCTTCAGTGATATGTGGGGGGAAAGGCTTCATTGCCATGGCAACAGCACAGCACTATTGCATCACCTGGGAGACCGTGCGGTGGCACCCCCTGGGGGCAGCCACTCATCCGTGCACTTGGAACGGCCAAATAGAACGCATTCGTTTGCGCTCAGTGGTCACTTGATTAGGTACACCAGTCCCGTCTGTTGCATTCCAATATGGGCAACGGCAATCAGCCTCTCGCGAGATTTTGCTTAACTACGATGGAGCGTTAAGGCCACGCTCACATTAAATAATAAGGAACACTAGAAGCCAAGTTTGGAAGACAAAAGAATGTGTATGATCCCAAAATAAACATTTCATGTCAATTCTGCAAGCTGCTGATGTTGTCATGTTTGTTGTCATATTTCCATTTCATTTGAACAAAATCACTTCCTGTTTTTCCTGTAATATCTGAAATTACATAATTATTTTGTATTTGTTGGGTTTTATTTTATTTTATTTTTTTTCTTCAGGAAGACTCTGGCCATATTCTTGGAAATATTCTATATAAATAAACGATATAATTTCGTGCTCATGAAATTCTGCTAGCTTAATGCTAACATATCATGTGACGTAACATCGATGTTAACAGTCTGGAGAAACCTTCAAACATCGGGTGCGACAGTTTCATGCGCTTTGCTAATTGACGGCCTCTGTCCCGGATGTCCGCAGAGCAACAGGGTAACGCTGAAAATGGACGTGTCGCACACGGAGCACTCGCACGTGATCGGCAAGGGCGGCAACAACATCAAGCGGGTGATGGAGGAGACGGGCTGCCACATCCATTTCCCCGACTCCAACAGGAACAACCAGGCGGAGAAAAGCAACCAGGTGCGTATGTCCACGCTGACGCCTGTGACGGACGGCTGGCACATCCGCTGCAATAAATGTATTTTTTTTATTTATTTAGATTTTTTTTTTTTTGATCGACTGAACTGCAGCATTGCGGCGTGATTATTATCTGGTCTTAAACGGCATCATAAAGCTGCGAGCAGAACCGAGAATGATGTCCGCACCGTGAGCGTGGCGGCGTCACACCCGCAGACGCGATGGCGAGTCAATCGGCTGCCGAAGGTCGAGAGTTTCTGTGCACGTTAGCTGGCGGCTGATTGTAACAAGCTGCTTTTTAATAAACTTCGACTGTAGCCTGTTGCGATTATAATCCCGTTCGTTTTGGGCAAACGTTGTGACCGCGAAATGGTGATGAGGTTTCTCCCTGCCTCAGACCTCGAAGAAATCACCGCGTGGCAGATGGTTTGTTTCAACCAATCGGTGTGGGAATGAGGTTGTTTGGAGAAAGACAAAAAAAAAAGGAATTCTGATGAGTGGCCTATGTGCCAGGATATCCGGTTGCATCCGTCTGGGTTTTTTCTTTTTTTTAAACTGAAAATTTTCACTCTAGCAGACCAGCATCAGCCGAAATGTAAACGGCTGGACGAACATAAAATGAAGTTTCCAATCGAGAGACCAGACGATATTCCCTCCCACATTCTTGAACACATTTAAACAGATTTACAGTGTCCCCTCACTTTTCGCCGGTGATACCACCGAAGCCCCCAAAATAAATTCATTTCCGCAAAGTAGAGGTGGACCTCATTTTCTTTTTTTTCTTTTTTTTTTTTTATGTTATTTTGGGTGGGATTTACGCCTCTGTTAAGCCATTACAACTCCTCCCACACGTTTCCTACCCTTCTAAAGACTTGTTACACTTAATAGATGTAACTTTCAAAATGCAAAATGGAGAACAAATACCGAGCTAATTTTTAGGATCTCGGTTTTTGGGAGAGGAAAAAATATATTCATTTTTTTTGACTGGTCCAACTTATATAGCATCGTAGCAAGAAAAAGATGCAAAAATAACTGTAATATATGAAGTTATGGTCACAAGTGAAAATCCGCGATAGAGTGAACCCGCAATAACTGAACCGCGAAGTAGCAAGGGAACACTGTATACACATCCTAAGCGTCATTGGGCAAATAAAATATATAAGAAAACTCGCTGGTGTCGTTTTGAAGATTCAAATTGCGCACTGCTGCCTTTGAGGGATTTTAATTGATCTGATAAGAGTTGAAGGGACATGTTGCCAGGCATGAAAATCAGAGTTAAAAAAAAAATAATAATAATAATACACGGCCTACTGCTTTTTTTTTTTTTTTCCCCCTCCCAATTCGCATGATTGCATTCAACCCTCTTCCGCTCTCACTGGCTCCGATGACGCCCCACGAGGCAGACAATCGGCAAGGGGCTCCCTCCTAACACCCGAGACCCCGTTAAGCTGCCACCTTCGCTTCTTTTCAAAGCCCGCCGGCGCGTAATAGGAGCCTCGCGGGCGTACACCGCATCGCACCGCATATGCCCGACGTGCGCGCAGCTGCGCGGCTCTTCGGGTCCGCTCGCTGATTTACCGCACCGAGCAGGAAGCGCTTCAAATGCGAGCTGCGAGTTTACTCACTGCGAAGGGATTTGGCGGTTGCGTGAACGCGATGTGCACGCCGATGCCTTTACACATGCAGTCGCAGCTGTTAAAAGTTGAATGACTCACAAAGGGGGCAGCACTCGCATATGCGGCGTTTGGCAAATACAAAGTGGAAATAAAGGCCAGTTTTTTTTTTTTTTTCTTTCTCCCAAGAGCACTCAACATCGAAATCAAGTCTGACGACATGCGATGATCTGAGCTCGTATCGGTCTTGGCCTCGTTTCCTAACGTGTTGCTTTTTGTCATGGTCAACAGGTGTCTATTGCGGGGCAGCCAGGAGGGGTGGAGGCGGCTCGAGTTAAAATCCGGGTAAGTTGGGATACTCGCAACACAACACTTCCGATACTCGTTGCACTTATTCGCTGTGGAAACACTTGCAGACATTTGATTGGAGGACGTCCCTATAGATTTTCTTTCAACTCACTTAGGTCAGAGAGTTCTGAGATCATTTTTGGACGTAAGTGCTCGTTTTTGGTTTCACGCCTTCCAGTTTCCTACTCGCACAGCTCAGCACTCCGTCTTCACTCAAATTTCACACTATTCTGACTCAGCTCCTTTTTGTTTTGAAAGGAGACATATGGGTTTTTTTTTCTTTTTTTTCCATAATTTAAAACAGTTCCCAGGTGTCTTAATAACGTTTTTGTGACATGCTTTGTGTCAAAATACCCAGAGGAAGCAATCAGTTCAGTGCCATTCATGTCATCCTGCCACGAGTTCGGCTTTCGTTACCATGATCACTGAGACCCAAGAGTGTGTGTGTGTGTGTGTTGGGGGGGTAAGAACAATTCCCCTCCCTCACCCCCCCATACTTTGATTAACATCTTTCAAATCAAAATGTAGCTTTTTAACTGCAAATTTCTTAAATGCCTTTCAGTGTATTTTTTAACTGTGTGAAGCACATTGAGCTATCTCGTGTATATCATGCACGACAAAAATAAAGCTGCCTTGCCTTGCCTTAATTACACGTTTAAAAAAAAAAATCATTGTCATGGTGAAGGTGGGTGCTCTCCCAATCAGCGATATCACACTGGAAGCTAATGATGTTAGCTAAAGCTAATCTGCACGTCCAACAAAACTTTTATCTGGCATGACAGCCGGCCACAAATTGATTCTGCCTTTCACTCGTTGTGTGTACAGCCAATTATTTTCCAGGAAATGGTTATTCGGCCTCAGTTGAAGCCTTGAAAAAACATTTTTCAAGACACTTGAAAGCTCACTTACACCCAAACTTGGCGTCTGAAGCCAAACGCTGGGTCCTGGTCAGTTTTTATTGGGTGCAGAACAATTCTAAAGGCTTTTTCATTTAAAATGATGTTTCAAGTCATACGTTCTGCTTTTTGTGAGTAATTTGAGTGTATGTACAGATGTTTCCGCCTGAAAAATACATTTTCCCCTCAGGCCACTTTAGAGCTCCTCGTTGAACATGAGAGAGGTTGAAGAGTGAGGAAGGCTGATTTATTTTATTTTATTTATTGACAGTCAGCGTGTGGCATTGCCTCGTTGTTGCCGCAAATTTATTCCAGCCCCCGCAGGTTTGACAAAGTTACTGTCCTGTAATTATCATGTAGTTATTTGCTCGGCAAGGTCATAGACTTGGTGTTTGATTGACAGTTACCTGTTGATTGGTGCATTCAACCTCCCCCATTTTCCACACAGCATTTGAGAGCGGAGAGAAAGGCTTGATTTTCCACAATGTTGATTTTTTTTTTTTTTAATGGCCCATTTTTTTATCATTCAAATTCAAAAGCATTCAGACTGACACACATTGGACTGTACGGACTTGCGTGTTCCATCTTTTTTTTTTTTTTTTTTTTTTAATGGGTTGTTGAGATGGTGAATTGTCGGGGGGCTTCCCAGAAGCTTTGCACGCTCAACCTGAACAGACAGGTGATGAAAGCTGATTTTTACCTCCGAGATATTTACATTTCCACCCTCTTTTAGACCTAACTGAGGTTTTCCAGCCATGCTTTCAACTTGTAACAGTACTCCAGGTACTGGTTTTGGAGTAACGCTGAAGTCAGCTCCAAATATAAAAGTCGTCTTTTTCTTCATTGATTGCATCGGTCCGGCTGTCGTTTCTTCTGTTCCGACCTAAACGTCTCGATTCCCTCAGAGCGCAAGTGTGGAAGCCTGATCCAAAACTAAGGCCGAGCGCATATGGGACTGATCAGTGGAGGCATTTGTTTGGTCGCGGCGATTCATGCCGCTTGCCCTTCACTGGAAGCCAAACCCATCGAGGCGCTCTGCCCGACAGCCATGCAATGTTTGGAGAACGTGTCTGCGTGTGTGTGTGTGTGTGTGTGTGTGTGTGTGTGTGTGTGTGTGTGTGCGTCCATTGCCTGCACTGTCTGTGCGTTTAACTGCACGCATAAGTTACCATGGAGTGAGGTCGTACCATCCGTTTGTGTTATTTGTTGGATCACTGATAATCTGCCCCCCCCCGCTGAGGTTACAATCGGTGATGAAAAAGTCTTGTCAGGGAAACAAACCGGTCAAATGCGTTTTGAAGACAACTTTGGCATTTTCATTTGACCCAATTTTCGCCCATCCCAACGTGCGTCTGCCCGTACTCATTGCAGGAGCTGCTCCCTCTCGTGCTGTCTTTCGAGCTCCCCGCCATCATGCAGTCGGACCCGAGCTCGCCGAGCGTGCAGGCCATCTCGCAGACGTACAACCTGGCCGTGTCCTTCAAACCGCCGACGCGGCTGTACAGGGCCACCGGCGTGGTGCGTGGCTCCCAAAACAACGCCAACGCCGTCAAGGTGAGGGTTGACTGGGCGCCATGGGCTCGCTTTCGCATTTGAGTCGTTTTTATCAATCGGGGCTTCTCAAACTTTTTGGGTCAAGGGAAAAAAATCTGGATGAAAAAGAACAATCAAATAGCTGTTGCAAACTATTTTGCTCACCCCAAGCTCCAACTGTCATCCCCCCTCGGGGTGCGGGGACCACAGATTGAGAACCGGCAGCCGAAGTGATCTTCTCATTTCCTGTCCGCAGCCATATCGGCTCCTCCGCGCCCGTTTCCATGGTGAGGCCGCAATGCGAAGGAAGCTAGCTCCGTTACTGAGCCCACCAACGCTGTCAGCATTGCTGCCTTTTTTTTTTTTCCTCCCCGCACAAACCGCCTCATGACTTGGCGGCGCCCCGCAGCCAAGAGAGTGCTGAGAGATGTTTGGGTGGCGTGAACTCCGCTGCGGGGGCGGCGCAACTCTTAAACTTTTTAGCTTAGCCCACTCGTACTTGAGCGAGAAAAGCGTCTCTCTGGCTCTTGTGTGCGTTCTTCCGAAACAGGCGCACTTTTTTAACTGGCAGGGAGTTTTCCCATCTCTCTTGCCAATAAATCGTGCCCACCGACTACGCGGGGCCTCACCAGCGAGTGCGTTTCCAAGCCTCCGTGTATATGTATATTTATTCATCTGCACTCGCACTCTTGCGTGCGCTAAATCAAGTGTGCGTGTTGAGTAAATGCGTTCCAAAAGCGTCTCGGCGAGTTTGCGGGTAGGTCAGAGCGGGTGAGGAGGCCAGACGAAGGCCGACATGATTAGTAGAATGTGCGAGCGCTATTTATGCGGCGCTGCGAGACCCTGGAAAGATCTTGGCGGGTTGCCAAACCCGCAGCAGCATGCGGGGATGGGTTCTCCCTTTGCACGATGGCAAAGACGTGCTTTACAAGGCCAAGTGAGAGCAGGGAGACAACCCCGAGTCGGTCTCCTCAACTCGTTGACGGATGCGTCTCGCCTTTTGCAAACGCGTATTTTTTCAAGGATATGGACTGTTTTGTAGTGTGGTGTGAGGACGCAGATCGAAATGAAACGTTATTCGAAATGTGCTTTTATTGTTCATTTTCTCGCCAGAAATAATCACTTTAGAGACAATATTTATGTATGTGGGAAAACAGTCAAGAAAAGACAAGCTTTTTTGGTGAGCTTCTGCACTCATCTCTGAGCAGCAACGTTAGCACGCTAGCTCTCCTGTGGACCCGATTAGGTTGAACACAAGTAGGCATCCCTGGCCACTCGTTGGCACTCTGGATTTCGGAATTTAATCAAAACATAACCAGCCACACATTTTAACATTCATTCATTCAAAAAAAAATAAATAAAAAATTGGACACATCGAGCAGAATTGGTGCGTCAATTCTAAATCCTATAAGCCCATCGGACCGTACGCAAACCTTTTACACCAAGAACCACATAAAAAGAAAGATTGAGTTCTTCGAGCCCCTGTATGTTGTTTTGTTTCAGCACCTAATTTATTTATTTATTTATTTTACTTTTGTTGCTACCTGGCGTTAGATATTCCGTGAGTTTCAGCAAAGCTCCCGAAGATTTGACTTCCAATCATCTCCAGCAAAAATCAATCTGATCTCAAATAAATTGTTTTCATTCTTTCAAATAAACAAAAAGTCTGCTGCCAACTAGTAGTCTACAGTAGGATTACATCCAAAAGAAGGCAGAAGAAAAAAATAGATGCAAACTGGGTAAAAATCTGCAAAACAGTTGGAACCATCAATGTGGGTTCATTGTACAGTTTTGACAATCCTGTATTCTATTTATTTGTTTTACTTTTGCCCAGCGTGGCACAGCTCTGCTGCTGGAGCACTTGGCAGGCAGCCTGGTGAGCACCATCTCGGTCAGCACCCACCTGGACATCGCCCCCCAGCACCACCTCTTCATGAAAGGCCGCAACGGCAGCAACATCAAGCACATCACCCAGAGGACAGGCGCCCAAATCCACTTCCCCGACCCCAACGGCCCCCAGAAGAAGTCCACCGTCTACATCCAAGGCACCATCGAGTCGGTGTGCCTCGCCCGCCAGTACCTCATGGTGCGTATTTTGCGCCGCTTAACGGGGAATGACTTCGAACCGCCAGCGTTTGTTTTTGTGGTCACACGTTGGCACGCGGGAATCGATTCCGACCATGTGCCCATTCCCCAGTCTGTGTGGTAGCTATAATGGATGTCACAGTCGGACGAGCATCAGCTTGGTATGCGAGGGATGCGCGGGCTGCGGGACGTCAACCACCGTGACCTTTTGGGGTTTGGGAAGAACCTTGGCCAGCTCTGCTGTAGCTGTGGCTAAAACGTGCCTGTGCAGTTCAGCAGCAACTATTAAGCTGCCACATAGCCGCTAGTTAGACGCATTATCTTGACTGCCGCTAATGATGATGGTTTGTTCGAATTTCGTACTGCAATCTCGAGACAATTTGGTTTGGGTTTTCGGAAGTGCGTTATAGTTCATATTTTTTTAGGGGTGCCCTTGAACCTGAGACAATTCCGTTTTGGCCCATCATCACGAGTCCATCCATCCATTTTCCAAACCGCTTATCCAAGTCATTTTTGCCGATGACTGGAGGGGTGTGCTGAAAAGCCCCATTTGTGTTCAAGCAGTTGTCGATGTCTACAGTATCTAAAATATGTTTTACATTTTAGTCATGAAATATTTCAGTCATTTTTATCAGATAATCTACTTAGAATGAATGAACAAATTATTTAGTAACTATGTTTATTTTTTTTAAATGTACACTGCCATTCAAACATTTGGGATCATTTACAAATCTTTGATATACAATACTGTATACATTTTTTATTAGTTAAATTGCATACAATAATGCATATAAAATTTTAAATAATGCAAAAGTAGTGTTTTACTTTGTTGTCTGCCGCTAGTTCGGCATCGCAAATGAGACTCTGTACTCTGATGCCTTACCAGGATTAGTAGAGGTTAAATAAAAACAATTAGAAAATAGGACATAATGCTGCACTGGCGCTGAAGGCCCGTCGGCATCGCATAGGACAGAAATTCCTTCCTGTCTTTGTTCCTGTAGCCTCCAGTCCGGCGTGGACAACGGTTAACAAATACCAGAGCAGTTGTGGTGACTGAACATGCCATTCTCATGCTTTGGAAACTGGAGAAGCAGCAAGAAAAACAGCTTCGCGAGTGTGGCAAAGGAGGGCAGGGGAGGCCAAAGGAACCAAAAACAAAAAGCCTCGAAGAAAGACAGAAAGGCCTAAAATAAAGCGTCAAGTGGACGTACGGGATGGGGAGTCCTGCCTGTCAGAGCGTACTTTGTGATTTGGCCCCCTTGCAGGCACACTGCTGATTACAGCTCCGATCTGGAGCCCGTCAGCAGCAGCGCTACTCTGCTGCTAATTACACCCACTCACAAGAGGAGCGCCGGCCGTGCAGCGCTCGGCCCCAAAAATATAGATGTCTGTGGTCCTGTGGTGGTGATAATGTGAAGCATATTGCACTTGGCGGAATTTCCCCAAACTCCAAAAAAAAAAGTCCAACGGGGAGTCTGGGTATTTATTGGGTTGCTTTTACCTACTACCGGTACTCTACAAGTGATAATAAAATCGAAGATTTATGCCGTTACTCCCGGGAGCGGATTTTATTGCAAGATATACCGGTCGATATAATGTGGGCAACAAACTTCCCACTTGGGTCGAATAACATTGACCGATCTATCGAGCCGGCTGTCCGGCTGGATGGATGGATGGATGGATGCATGGCTAGCTAGCTAGCTGTCTGTCTGTCTGTCTGTATAGCTAGCCAGAAAACGATTGCTTGCCTCTTCCTTCTTTTTTTTTCGAGTGTTCATTTCTCATTCCTGCAGTTCCATTCCTTCCTAATTTTCTGCCTTTCCTCAATTCACTGTTGTGGCGCTTGATCTAAATTCATTAAATCGCATTTTTTATTAATTGATACATTATAGAACCTTGATTTATTTTTTTCCCTCTTCGTTTTTGCTCTCAGGGCTGCCTGCCGCTGGTGCTCATGTTCGACATTAAAGAGGACGTGGAGGTGGAGCCTCAGTGTATCACGGCCCTCATGGAGCAACTGGATGTCTTCATCAGTATCAAGCCCAAGCCCAAGCAGCCCAGCAAGGTATGATCGTTGCCTTCGGCCCTTCCGTGCGTGGTTCAAAGGGGAAACGACAGCATTCCATCTTGAGAAAAGCACCTCGCGTCCTCAAAGGCGTGCGAGGGCGCTGTCCGTATTCAACTAACATATTGGCCGGTCACATTTCAGTATGTGAGCAAGTTAAAATGGAAAAAAAAAAACCGGAAGGGAAATCAAAGGGACTGGTGCCATGTTCGCTCAGCGTCTGCCGCCGTTGGAGAGCCACAGTCTGTCCTCAAGCTGCACGCAAAGGAAAGACGACCGGCTGACTCCGTTTTTGTTTTTTTTGGGGTTTTTTTGTGTCTGTTGCTTGCATTCTTAGTTGATAGGCGTGTAAAATTCAAAGTGGTTTGTTTACATATGAACAGCAGGCAAGCATGTTTCCTCCAGACGGTGACATTTGTACTTGGCTATCCGCTTGGATGCCAACATTCAGGGGAGTAAAAAAAATTTTTTTTTAATTGACGCATCGCGATGCAAAATAAAGAAGTCTCAAAGTGCCGATGTGTGGGGAAGTCCAATGGTAAAATGTAAGCTGTGCATATGTTCACCAAACATGATTGGCTTCGAATGTTTTCATAAGATGCGATGTGTGGAGGGAGATGTCAAGTCAAGTCTTTCGGATCTGATCCAGATTGCGCTTTTGGCAAGCATCGCCCCATTGAAAAGATTCCGCATACACTTACGGTTCGTTTCTGTCATTTCTTTTCAGATCAGCTTATAATTTGTCCTGTTGCGGAAATCCTGGCCGCCCTTTAAGTTATTGACATCCCGCGCGCCGAATGCTTTTTGAGATATTCCCCCATCCTATTACGTTTTCCAATCCTATCAGCATCATCTCGAGCAGCTTTTGCGAGCGCGCGCGCTTGCTGCCGTCGCTATCAAATGACGGCCAACCTTTGGCTGTGTCGCTGAATAGTTTGGAAAAGCCAAGCGCCATTGTTCGCAAAGCCGGCAATTGAAGCTGTCATTATTACATACTTTTCAACCGGGTCCGATAATTGTCGCCACATGTTTCTCTCAGGAATTCCTCCTCATGATTTTTTATTGGTGAGTCTCATGCCTCGGAATGTGACGTCAAAGGCAGGAGCAATATCTCCCTCATATTTCCATCATGTGTCTGAGCGAGCGTGATGTGTTGGGGGGGGGAGTCATCCGTCAAATGTTACTCCCACACCGACGCTGTTTGTCATTCTAATCTCTCCTTAATTCCCCTCTTCCTTCCTTTCCATCATGTTTGTCTCCCCCCCCCATCCTCCCTTTCACTCCCTACGTCCGAGTCCAACATTCCCAAATCCGTTCCCCTCCCATGCTCCTCACGTGTTAGACACACACACAAACACATTTGAGCATTTTCTTGGCTCTCACTTTTGTTGCGCAACCGTTTTCTTTCTGTCTCTCTCTCTCTCTCTCTCTTCCTTTTCCAGTCCGTAATCGTCAAGAGCGTGGAGAGGAACGCCGTGAACATGTACGAAGCCCGGAAGTTCCTGCTGGGCCTGGAAAACAACGGCGTATCTTGCTACTCGCCATCGGTGGCCGTCAACCCGGCCCCCAACGGGCCCTCGCCGTCGCTCATATGTCCCGTTGGCCTGGACATCTTGGCCTCAGCTGGTCTGGGGCTCAGCAACCTGGGTAGGAAGAATAAAACGTCACTGAGAATGGAATACAAATAGCAAATGGTGAAAAATCGTTGGGGGAGAAAAAAAAAAGCAAAGCTTCAAGCTGTTTAATGCCACTCCGGTTGAAACTTCAAACAAAGTCAATTAGTCCTTGGGCGTTTAAAACAACCGCAGAGCGTAGCCGTTCCGCCCACGAGCGCTGCGCTAACACAAAATTGCATCCATGTTGTGTGGCTATAACCGTTTTACGCAAAAGTTTGAACACAAACTGGACTCACAGTAGATGTATCTTCTTTATCCTCTGCCAAGAAAGACTAATCTTAGTGCCGTACTGTTGAGCTGAGAGGAACTGGAACGTTTCAATGAAAAGCATCTCTTCTGCCCAATTGCTGCTCGTTGTGGAGCGGTTCGAGTCCAGCACTCCGATCTCGAGTGACCGACTGCTCGTGTCCGGAAAAACCGAAGTTGTGAGCCACTTGTATGTCGAGGCGACCATGAATTTTAAAAATGCACAAAACTTCCTATGACATTATTTGTATGGCAAAGCAACAACATTTCTAATATCTCCTCATCATTTTTTTTTAATCCCCCAGAAAAAGTGCACTGTACTGTCCACCTCATTATTCTTGAGTCCTTTTATTTTTCTCTCCTCAATTCTCAGTCCTTTGCAGTCCTATGTACGTTCCTTAAGGGCGGTGCGTTCCCTGTTTAAACTCAATGAATTTTATGAGCTCGCTTTTCCTGCCAAATGAAAGTGGACGGGAAAGTAGATTTCAAATGTAAATAATCAGCCGCCAAAAAAATAATAATACCGTTCCCTGCAGGCCCGGTGCTGCAAAATCGGTTCAAAGTTTGGTGGACGGGCCCACATCCTGGCCGTTAGTAATTGCTACATGCTTTTCTTGCTCAGATTACAGAGCAGCCTGCCAGGAGAGTCCCGTGCCTTCCTCCCGGAGCCAAAGTAGCCCCTTGTGAAAGCCACAGAGCCGCTTCTTTGTGTTTTCATACACCGCGTTTGGGTCAAAGCACTCTGCGGCACATTGTCTCAATAACAAGCTTGCCTTGGCTAACCGAGACTCGTCGGATAGGTGCCGGGGCCTTGCGCCGATGCGAGAAATTCCTTAAGATGCCTTGATGGAATTCTCGTTCGATCGTAGGAGCAGCAAGACGGTATTCCCAAAACGGTGATTTGTGGTTTTGTCCGCAGGCTTCCTGGGTGCGGCGGCGTCCCACTCGCTGGCCAACTCGGCCGCCCCCAATGCCGTCCTGAACACCCTCAACTCCTCCATGAGCCCCCTGCAGGCCCCCAGCCCCGGCGCGCCCGCGCCCTCGCTCTGGCCCAGCTCGCTCACCAGTAGCCAAGGTGACGAGATATCCGATATTTTGATGTATTTTTTTTTGTTCTTGCATATAACATTAGAGGAAGTTTGTAGGGTGCAACTGCACAGGTTACCACCCAAAACAAATTTGCTGACTTGAAAATGGTCCAAATGTTCAAATTACTATAGTTTAATTATTATTAATAACAATAATAATTATTAATAATAATAATAAATAAAAATACTTAAATATAATAATAACTAATAGATATTATTAGAGCAGATTTATCTAGTTTTTATTAGTTTTAGTTTTAGTTTTTTGTTTGGTTTTTATTTGTTGCGTGTAAGATTAAAAAAAAAAAGTCACGAAGTTTGACCTTCTTTCTTCCGTCAAGACTCGCACTCCCGAATAAATGAATGAACCCAGAAAGCTCATGTATGATATTCATTGAATTCGACTAAAACAAAGGACATTTTTGCAACATGAACCAAGATTTTGTTTCAGTTAGTTTTGATTGTATTAAAAGCATTATTATATTTTATTGACAGATTTTTTTTTTTTTTTTGGTTTTGTTTAACAATAATAGCTTTGGGCTAGGCTCACTCCCAACTCTTATGAGGACAAGCACAATTGAAGCCGGATGGATGAGGGGGGGGGATCACCAAACAGACTCCAGACATGTTGCATTGTGTTTCCCCAGCCTTCTCGTCCCAGCTGATGCTGCATCCAGCCACCCACGCCACGCTGAGCAGCATCTTGCTGTCTGGCGTGCAGGGTTACACGCAGAGCACGCCCTCCCCTCCACCGGGCCTGGCGCCCATCGACAAGCAGTCCAACGGCGTCCCCGACTGCGCCAAGGCAACCTGCGCTCTCAACGGCCACATTAAGGTCAGACCATATTCTCAATCCTGTTTTATCCCGCCCCCCTCCGAATGGTTTCATTGAATATATTGACTTGGCATTAATTGGACAGCATCCGGGTTCCGTCTACGGGAGGATATCCACCGCGTCACTTGCTGAAACGGTTCTGAGTCCGGCGCCGTGCGACGCGGTCCAAGAGGCCAGCGGACACAATCCATCAGAACCTCTGTCCAGCAAGTCCAGCACCGATGAAGGTACTCCTGGCATTCGAACGCATGCGCAACGCAGTCCTCGGGAGGTTCACTCGAGTGTCGGCGCGATCGTTCAGCCGTGCCAAATTGAGCGATTTCAGCAGTCAAAAATGATCCGCCCGTTTGGCCGTTGTTTAAATGAGCACATGATTGACGGAAAATATGCTCGCAATGCAAAACTCACCTGTCAGTCGACAAGCAGGGTATAGTGTGGTAGCGTTTGTCATAAGTGGATAAGTTGCACTTCTTGACATCAACACAGCCGGTGCTTAATTGATATTTTCGGGTCATTCCGTCAACATGAGAAATATGACTTTCAATATCAGCCAGGTCAGGATGGCCCGTGCTTGCGTCCAAAGTGGCATCGTGGTGTCGTGACAGAGAGAAAAACAAATGTGCTGCGCAAATATGAAGTGTGATTTATGTGCCGGCGTCCTTTTCACCTCAAGTTCAGCAATTTTTTTTAAAGCCCCGTGAAGAATACTTCAAATGAAGCGCTTTTCCTCCCGTGCGGTTCTTCACCTCCCAGTCTCTGTTTATTACACACGAGAGGAGACCGTTTAACTTCTGCCCTCCTGGCGGTGCGCGCGGCGGTTTTCCCCCTCAAATCTTTCTCTCTCACGCGTCTCCTTTTTCTCGCGTGTTTACCGACGCCCTCCCCTCTGATGCGGTGAGTCACAGGCAGGTTTCCCCTCCATCACCTCCTCCTGTGTCTCACAGTGTACTTGCCCACCAACTGGCTCCGCTCACTTTTTAGGGGTCGGGGGGTTGGCGGGCCACTCCAACGTAAATCCCCCGAGATCTCCATTAGATGGCGTGACATCATCGGTACTTTTCTTGGCCGCTCAGAACTTCCACGCATATTAATGTTGCGTTCAGTATACGCACGTGAACTCTTTTTAAGCCGCGGTCTTTGTTGATGCGTGGCAGGCTCGGACACGTTTGTGGAGGTGGGCATGCCGAGGAGCCCCTCGCACTCGGCCAGCGGCAGCGAGCTGAAGCAGATGCTGGCCTCGTGCAAGAAGTCGTCGGGAAAACGGCAAGCCGTGGAGCTGCTGCAGGGCACCAAGAATTCCCACCTACAGTATGTCCAAGTGTCTTCGCGCACCCATCACAGAAGAGGTCCTCTTGGGGCCTTTGGAAATATTCCATTGAGCTTCGCGATTTGAAAAACTTCCACTTTTGGTGGAAAACGTTCCAGACTGTTGCCCTGCTAGATTTCCATTTGGTACATATTAAAAAAAAAGACCAGATGAAATCGGATAAATCATAAAAATAAAAGGTAAATTGCACATTGCGATTGGTCATTACAACTAAAAGTGTGATGGGGGGGACAAAAGAAGAAATATATTAAAAGATTTTGGTGCCAAGAAAGCTTCAACATTATTCAGTGTTTTGATGTCGCTGGAATTTTATGGGGGTTTTTTTTTTCCCCCGAATTGGCTCTCATTTTGAGGTATTTCATGGGTGGCGGGGGGGGAAGACGTACCGACGTCATCGAATTCAACTTTTGGCTCTTTTCTGCGCAGTTCCGATTGCCTCCTGTCGGACGCCGAGTCCAGTTCGTCAGACAGTCCCGTGACCGACAAGCGGGCGCCGGGCAGCGAGCGGGCGGCCGAGAGGGCGGCGCAGCAGAACGAGAGGGAGCGCATCAGATTGGCCCCGCAGACCCCCTTTGCCAACATGCAGGTGCCTGCCAACCCCCCTGATACATAAATAAAACACACATAATTCTTTTGGATCATGACAGCAAATGTTTTTTTGTTTTGGGGTTTTTTTTTCTGTTTACAGGCATTTGACTATGAACAGAAAAAGCTGCTGGCAACCAAAGGTGAGTTCACATCTTGTCAACCTAATTTCAGTTGGTAATCCTTGAATACTAGTCACTCTCCATTTCAGTCAAAACTCTCGCCAAATGAAATGCGAAACATGCGTTCAATTGAAGTCCCTTTATCCTCATCCAAATGATGAAGACATTACAAAAACGGCAAATGGACCAAGCGGTAGTGAACGTGCGCGCGGCCAAAAAAGTTGCTGCTTTTCAGCAGATACGGTCGCTTTACGGCATACTCGTCGTAGGACAAACTAAACTGAAATACTCTTCAGGAATTTACCTTTTCGTAAAATAATAATACATTAAAATGCCAAATGTAGGCCAAACAGTCGATTGTCAACTAAAATTATTCTAGTGGAGCACAAATAAACAGTTTGTGCAAGTAGGACTGCATTTCCCATGATTCTTCGTCGCCAAAGCAGGAAGTCGTCCTGTGAAAAAGGAAGGAATTTGGATTAAAGACGACAAACTGAAAAGCCAACATCCCGCCTTGGCCCTTCGCTTGTGGATTTCCCACATACTAAAACATATTTGACACATTTTTGAGCGCCTTGTACCACATAAAAATCGGCCCGAGGTCACTCGGCACACCAGATGGAATATTTTGACCAAATGAAAGGAGTTTATGTGCGCCTCGTCGTCTGAAAAAGACGGCGTGCGCAATGAATGGTCGCGATTGTTTTTCACTGCATATTCACATTAAATAAATAAATACTGTGCTGACAAAGAATGATGGAGTTCTTTCTTGAGTAACAAATATGTGCTCGCACAGCTATGTTGAAGAAACCCGTGGTGACGGAGGTGCGGACCCCGACAAACACCTGGAGCGGTCTGGGTTTCTCCAAGTCCATGCCGGCTGAGACCATCAAGGAACTGAGGAGAGCCAACCACGTGCCCTACAAGCCCAGCATGAGCACCACCTATGAGGTTTGACCCCCGACCCCCGTTTGGGTCCTTCTCGAGCTGACATTGGCTTTGGATGGCTTTGCCGTAATATTTGGCCCAACTTCTTCCCCTCAGGGTTCCGCGCTGTCCCTGTCCCGCGCCGGCAGCCGTGAGGGCGTGGCCAACGGCAGCGACTCGGACAATTGGCGGGAGAGGAACGGCGCCTCCAACGGCCTGCAGGCCCATGCCGACTTCCCCACAGCTGTGAGCAGCCCCAAGAGGAAACAGAACAAATCGGGTCAGTCGCGTGTTGACGTTGCGTGCCGTGGCGCACAGCTAACTGCAGGCTGACTTCAGATTCTTTTTTTGTTGTTATTATTATTATTATTATTTTGACAATTGCTGATGGCACCCCTTTTTTATTTCTTTTGACGGACAGCGGCCGAACATTACCTGAGCAGCAGCAACTACATGGACTGCATCTCGTCAGTGACGGGCAGCAACGGCTGCAGCCTCAATTCCTCCCTCAAAGGTTCGGACCTGCCCGAGCTCTTTAGCAAGCTTGGCCTGGGGAAGTACACGGACGTCTTTCAACAGCAGGAGGTAAGCGGCGAACAACAAGATGCATTTTGCCCATCATGCGGATGATTGCATCAAGACATGGAAGAATTTGTCTTCCTTTGCAGCTATAACCGCTTCCACTGTTTGGGAAATTTTTTTTTTCAACTCATTTAATGCTAAAATGTCAAATTAAGTTTGCGAAAATCCTATCACTGAGTGCCAAAACATAAAATTATGGTTTTGTTTTGGGTTTTTTTTTTCTCCAAATTTAACAAAGGGCTTCACAGCTCCTCAGTATGGATCAAAGCTTTGGATTTCAGTATGATAAATCACCACTAGATGGCAGGAGTGGCTTTGATCAGTTCTTGGCCCACCCGTCGTGTGAGTCTGTCTATCCAGTAGGGTGATCTGTGTGTGTGTGTGTGTGTGTGTGTGTGTGTGTGTGTGTGTGTGTGTGTGTGTGTGTGTGTGTGTGTGTGTGTGTGTGTGTGTCGTGCGAAAGCAGTGTGGTGGTGAGAGCATGGAGAACGTTCAACGTTCATGCAAAGTTCATGCATCAGTCCAGTGTTTTTCATATTATATCGCAAATGCAAAAAAAAAAAAAAAAGAAACCCACCAAAGTGAAAGCTCTTATTCTCTGAATATTTCTTGGAAATGACTATTTTCAGTCCTACGTCCGTTGTGTCGTATTTGTTTCGTGTGCATCATGCTTCTTCATGGCTTTGCGATGCTTCTCTTAAAGTTTGCTGAGATGCGAGCGTCGTCGTGAAAGTTTTCTGTTGCAACTTCCAGATCGATCTCCAGACGTTCCTGACTCTGACCGACCAGGACCTGAAGGAATTGGGCATCACCACCTTTGGCGCTCGCAGGAAAATGCTACTGGCCATCTCAGGTACTTCAAGAGCGACCGGCGAATTCTGTCGGAACGCTGTGTTCGAGCGCAGTCATCATATTTTGTCTTGTAATTGAGGCCAAATAGCACTGTTTTGGCTAAAAACAAAGTACAAGAGAATGTTCAGTTGTGTGCCTTTAAGGGGCGTGGCCTCGTGAGTGACGTGAGGTCGGGCAGCCGGATAGGCCTATGTGTGAGTGTGGGTTGTGGCCCGCAGCAGGTCCTTGCAAGTTTTCTGATTTTGTTCTTGGGTGACTATGTTTCTTCTATTGGGGCATGAGGTTAGCTTGCTTGCTCCACCCCCCCCGACTTCAATCTTGCTACGTACCTTAAATTTTAGCTTGCTACACAAACCAAAATAATCAACCAATTAATGACTCGTATCTTGAACGTGTCAAATGGGGCACTTGTAGGCCAAGGTAGTAAGATGGCCGAACTCTCTCAGTAAGTGGAAAATAAAAGACGTCGGATCAAGAGGGATTTATTTACATTCTTGACAGATGAGCGTGTCCGTGTTTTCGTATGTTTCCACTTTGATTCTGTTGACACACGGGCTCCAACGCTTATGTTTGGGTGCCGTTCTTCGCCAGTGATGTCATGTTTTTGGACCATGCGGTTCTGTTGCTGAAGTGGTTTTTGATGGCGACAAGGCAGAAGCGTCTTGCGTTAGCTTAGCAATTAGCATGGCTTCTTGGTCTTTCCGTCACATCACTCGGTGAGAAGTGGTAGCTCGATTGCCGCCACGGAGGTGATGGTTGCTGATTTAGGAGCGACTCCGCAACGTGTGTCGCCACACGAGTAGGCAGCCGAAGATCATTGCTAGCTAGCTAGCGCGACGTAAGTAAAACAACCAGTTTGCCTCGACCTCCGATGACCCGCGTGATGTCGCACGTGCATCCAGTCCAAGCGAAGCCGTTTGGGACCGTCTGGGGCAATAGATGATCAGTTTTGCTGTCTCTGTGCCGATGTCGTTTCAGAACTGAACAAGAACCGGCGCAAGCTATTCGAGCCCCCCATCCGCTCGTCCTTCCTGGAAGGCGGCGCGAGCGGTCGTCTCTCCCGTCAGTTCCACGCTGACATGGCCAGCGTCAGTGGACGGTGGTAAGCCCCCCCCTCCCGGCGGCGTCCCCCTTTAATTTTATATTTTTTCCATGGCGCAGCACCACCATTTTTTTGTGGGGGGGGCGGCTCTCCCTCTTTCGGGCTCAGACTGTTGACAGCGCCATCTTGTATAAACATCCAGTTGGAAGCCATAGTTTGCCCACCACCCTGGGCTAAAAGGGATTCCTGAGGTTCAGCGTTCACTCCCGTCCGAGCCATTGAGTCGATCCGAAGCGTTTGTGCACTTCCGACAAAAGCGACTCCGGTATTTCAAGGGACCAGGCAGAATGATTAGTACAATCATTTTACCCGCCGACCCCGCTGCGGCTGTTGTCGGTGACATGCACTTTACTGTTACTAGACTTTTGCCTGTGAACGCCTCCATTGCTTAGATTGGAAGAATAATAACAATAACTATGCATTGGACTTAAAAAGCGCAGATGCATTATTTTATTTTATTATTATTGTCTTTTTTTTTTTTTTTTTTTACCAAGGCAAATGTTTGTCAGCACTTAGCCGTGCCTAGTTGGGCCAAACAAAGTGCAAAGTAGGTCAGCGCACCAAAGTGTACCAAAAAAGGGAAGTGTTTTGATTGGGAGCGTACCTCCCAAGTGCGTGTTTATGTTCAGCAGCTGTTCCGACATCTCGCCATCGTTTGCGTCCGTGTATTTCCAAGACCAAATTTTGTACTCTTTTATGATTTTTTTTTTTTTTTAACTGCCATGTTAGGGGAAAGGGGCAGGATATATAATGGTAATCCGTTTACATGTGTATTTTTTTTTTTTTTATATATGTTACGAATGACTTAACATGATTATTTGGTATCGTTATTGTCATTCTATGTTCATGTTTCTTAGTCTGTGGAGCGCTTAGATGGCCGCAGCGGATTTTCATCCGGTTGTTTATAGCACAGGCTCCCCCGTCCGTTATTGGTCAGTGGCGGCCTTTCGGTGGCCTCGAAATCCCACAATGCACTCCTCTGCCTTCTCCGAGGGGCAAGGACCTCGTTTGGGAACTTTTTGGAGCCTCAAGTGCCAGTTAACTTGATTTTTTTTTTTATTTTATTATTTTTTTTTTTTACCATTTTGTTTCAAGAAGGGACATTTTGCTCTGACCGCATCCCACGAGGAACACGAAAAATCATTTGAAGGAATGCAAAGAACGGCTCGAACGTTCCACGGTGATAGTTTGGGGGTCGTCTTCAATACAGTTGCAAACCTGCCTGAGACGCATTTCATGAAGCGAGGGGATTTGACGTCAGAATTGTCGAGTTTTCCAGGAACCTTGAGGATGTCGAGGCTAGATTTGAAACAAAAGTACAATTATGATCGTCGGGTTAATATTTGACAGTATTAGAAGTGAAGAATCAAGATTTTTTTTTTTTTTGAGGGGGTGTGAAAGTGCATTAAAAGTGCCTTAATAAAGTGAGTGCCTGTTGAGTCCAGATGCATTAAAAGCATCAAAACAAATGAGGTGCCTTGCATGGGGTTACTTTCCTTCAATTCAAATTTCTCAACACTTTGGCCTGTTTTTCTTGTTCAGAACATCACGGCGATTCATTTTCTGACAAGGTTGCCCCCCCCCCCACCCCCCCATTGAAGTCTTGAAAAATACAAACTATAAGATGCAACATTTATTCTGAGACGCTACCTGGAAAGTGTTTTGACTCCGCTTCTCGTCTTAACTGGTGAACGTTGTTGGAAAAGAAGCGCTTGATCTGAAGTTTGCTGTTTTGCCGAATTGTGTGAAAGGAATAAAAGAAAAATAATAGTATTAATAATAATAAGTTGCCGCTCCTCTGAAGAAGTCGCACAGCCTTAATTGTTTGATGCCAAAAGGGTTTTATTGGAAAACGTCTTTGTACTGCAGTTCCATGGTACATTTGTAAGGAATTGTAAAACCACTAAGAATTCTGCAACATTTTTGCAACATTTCGAAAGTGATATTTTTTTTTTATACGTGTGTGCGTGTATGTGTGTGTTAGGAAAAATTCTGCACCAAAGGATTTGTGCATCGTGGCCAAAAAAACAACTCTTGTTCACACTTTACTCCACTTGTTGTATCTTAAAGATTGATTTGTTTTTTGATAAGTCAGGCAAAAAAAAATATATGTTCAAACATTGATATTCTGAAGGTAATAAAGAAGTGTATGCCAAAATTGCTCTTTTCTATTTTTGTGGTTTGTCTGGGAAATCTTCCGTCTGGGTGTGCGTTTCTCCTCCAAAAGTCCCAGGCAGTCAGGCCCCGAGTGGATGATCCCGACCGGCTCTCTCACACTTACTAAGAGTTTTTTTTTTCTTTCCCTTTCTGCCTTTTTGCTTCCAGAACATTCTGGCGCGGTTGATTTGCAAAATGATTCTGTACTGTCTCTGCTGTCATTTTAGGTGGAATGAAGCCAGCAAAAAAAAAAAAAAAAAAACACTTTTCATGCTGTCCTATGGTCGTATGTGCACATTTTCTTCCCATCTGATGAAGGAAAGCGTGACAGAAAAATGGGTGGAATTTACGGGAGCCTTCGGGTTCTTCGTGCGAATGATGGATCGTGTGAATGAAAACTAGAAAACGGTCCAACCGTGTCTTTTGGGCCAAAGGACAAGGACGTTTGTGTCCAGCCTCTAGGGGGCAGTGTTGTTCCTTCAAAACAGACCGTCTGAAGATGCAACGCAAACCAATACGTTTGTTGATGTCGCACTTTGACTGCAGCTGAAATAAAGCGCTTCCCAGAACATTTAACATAAAATTAAAAAGAAAAAAAAAAGAATACAACAGAGCACAAAACATTTTGGTCTGTTGTTGCAGAGTTTCAATGCATGCATGTCGCTGAGCAATTCAAAATCTCGGATGGAAATTTCCACCTGACTCATCTTTTTTTCTTCTGATCATATGAATTAAATTTCCACTGAGCTTCTTTGAATTGCTGATTTTGTTCTTTCATTCATTTTATAGTTATTGTTTTGGTGTTCATGATCAGGATGTTTTTTTAATCCTGATTGACGTATGATGTCACGCAAAGAGTGGCCTTGGCATGTGGGGGCACCCTCCTCCAAACAGGTGGCCCCGATGAAGCATCTGTTCATCATCATCGTGTGACTCATTTGCTTTTTATCCCCCTCCATCGCCGTTTGTTTGTCTTTGTTTTTTTCTGTCCACCACACGAGCTTTCCCCGCCTTTGTTTGTTGTGTAACACCGCCGCACTGACGAGCGTGTAAATACGGCCTTCTCTGAGTTAGTATGTAGGAGGCTGCAGTGGGAAAACATTCATTACGCTGCCGGCTGAACACATGCAGGGATTGGAGTGATTTTAAAGCTCCCCCCCCCACCCCCCCAAAAAAAGCGATATAACAAATCCTCATTAAGGCCAACATCAGATCTGTCCACCACACGAGCTTCCCCCGCCTTTGTTTGTTGTGTAACACCGCCGCACTGACGAGCGTGTAAATACGGCCTTCTCTGAGTTAGTATGTAGGAGGCTGCAGTGGGAAAACATTCATTACGCTGCCGGCTGAACACATGCAGGGATTGGAGTGATTTTAAAGCTCCCCCCCCCCACCCCCCCCAAAAAAGCGATATAACAAATCCTCATTAAGGCCAACATCAGATTTGTTGAGAAAAGCTGCCAATCAAGTCGAGGGCAAATACGAGATAATTCTCCCCACTGTGACATCCCATTCTATCGCGGAGATGTGAGGGCAGGCAGCTCCTGTGAATCGCAGAGTGAAAATAACGTTGACCACCGAGCATGCGTTAACACGTACGCAAGCTTCCCACTTGACGATCCGGCAATATTGTTCACGCACGTCGACAGATTGCCGCGGCAGGAAAAGCGTCCGCGAGATGCGGTGTGATTTGCTTCCACAACATGTTTACGGAACGCACGTCTTCCTTGAACGGACCTGAATCAAAATTGCAGAATAAACATTTCTTCAAGATTAAATGCAAAGTTGCATATCATTATTTTGTAAATGTCTGAGGGGAGCCCACATACAGCTAACGGTACCTGCACCGCACTTGGGATGATCGTTACTCTATACTGTGTGTATGTGGCGGATGGCCACGCCACCAAACAAAATCCTGCGACTCAGGCCATCGTATGAAAATGGATTTGGATCTTCGCCCATCTTACCTTCATATCATGACTTAGTGTCCCTGTCGGAAGAAATTCGGTATGGGGAGGGGTGGATATTTTGTAAATTGACGTCTATGTTTTTATTTCAATTATTTTGTTATTGCATGATCCTTCCATGATTATTTTTTGGTTTTGTTTTAATCCTGAAACATCCTTCCAGTATTTTTTTTTGTTTGTTTGTTTTCTTTTAATCCTATGAAATGTGCCCTATAACTAAAGTGGACTTGAATACATGACCAGCTCATATTCAAATGTGCAGGCGTACCTCGGGAAGTGTTTCTCACCTCTCATTTAAAATGTTGCTCCTGCACGTACAAGCTCATCTCTCTGGACGGGATCCCTCTTGCATCCTTCCCTGCACTTCCCCCATCTGTCGCCGTGTGGCCTGTCAACTCGCACTCGAGGTGAGCCAATGTCACACACACGCGCGCGCACAGGTTATAATTGCAGCTTGAATAGAAAGCATGGGAGACGATGGCCAGCATGGAAGGGATTTAGGAAAGTGATGATGCGGAAGAGAAGAGCAGGTTGGTGAAGGAGAATGATGCGTGTTGTGTTTGGGCACAAATGGGAATCCAATTCAAATCAATGGCGTAGAATCTTATTTTCAGATTGCGAGGGGTGCTTGCGCGATGAGATGCTGTGTCAGGGGCTGCCTTCCCACCCCAGCACTGATCTCAACACATAATGACTGTGCCTCGGGGGGGGGTGAGCTCGGCTGATGGATGGAGGGGAGGAAACCTCCGGAATCTGCCAGCCTCCAGCCTTCTATAACCAGCATGAGGAGAGCGACAAAGAGGCGATGCATGGCGTACATAATGAGCTTTTTTTTATCGCTCGCTGTTTGAGCTCTTTGAGGCCTTCTGATGATGTAACGCTTGTTTCTTATGAAGTTAAAAATTGCCTTTCAACGATTGCTTCTGTGCTAATCTGCGGCCATCACGGGACTGAGCTCTTTTCCGCGATAAATGCGTTCCAACGCGACTGGGGGCTGCCGCTAAATCATGCTCACCAGCCGCGTCCAATTACGTAAGCGGAAGAGCATCACGTCCGAAGCAAGCGTCTTTACGTGTTCATCGCGGCCTCAGCAGGAAAGGAATTTGCAACATTTGCGCCGCTGGAATGTGAAAACGGGTGCGCGGAGGCCGCGGGGGTCTCATCGGAAACGCTTCTTAGTGAAGGCGGCGCGATTATGAGCTTAGCATGGAGTTAGCTCCCGCTGGCATCCGTAAGCCTTGTGGACTGATCCCGCAACGGGCGTGGAAATGCAGCTTGTTTTCGCCACAATTACGTCCAATCCACATGTAGGTCAAGCGGAGCGCTTTGGTCACCGCTTGTGAGACACTCGCCACTGCCACCGTCGGCCGGCTCTTTACGTTGCATTGTGGGATGTGGCGGCCATTTTAGGTTACCGGAAGAATCCCGGAAGCACAGTGGCCGTGATGTTTCGGCGGCGCGAGACGTCGCGCAACCTTCTGAGCCTTCCGCAACCTTGCCAAGACTCTTCGTAAGGTGACAACAATGTGTGTAATTTTGCTTTGGGAGGATAAACCGAATCGTTCATCAACCGGATAATTCCACTGCCCTTTAAAAGTCTTAAATATAATAAAGTTATATTGCCACTGCCCAGCACTGGCCTTAAGCAGGAACTCAACAGCACGCTGGTTTTAACAGCAAATGTGGCTTACAATCAATCCCCCCTTAAGTGTATTAAAAGCAGCTCTTTGTCAGGCAATCACAGCAGTGTGTGAAGCTTATTTGGATCCCAGTAGTTAAAAATTGAAACATTTGGAGAAGTATACAAATTGAAAACGATCTTAATTAACTACTGTCTTGAAATGAGACTTAATTCCCCGCCCCCCAATCCATGTTTTAATAACCTCTCAAAGTCAAAATACTCCAAGGATGCAAATTTATAGTATACTTTCCACAGCCTGTTTCTTGTCTAGCTGAAATGAGTTCCGTTTTAGATGGCTCATGCAAGTGAGTCATTGTATACCTCACCGCATAAAGTACTGGGAAAATGACATGTCCGACCCTGGAAGATGGGGTAAAATAGCAATAAAAATTCTTTAAAGGCATGGATAAAGACACTACAAGAACCAAAACAATGCAAATACCTCCCAAGTCAGTTGTTGAGAAATTTTGAAATCACGTTCTCCCCTCACCATCTTCAATAGCATGACTCATGGGGCGCATATTTACAGACCCGGCCGTCCACTGAATAGAGAAGCCCCGCGTCGCCTCTCCTCGAGGTGTTTTGTGTAAAAGGGCGGAAGACAAAACAAAATCCAAAGTGACAGTGGATGCTTTGGGAGCCTCGCTCTTGGAAATGACTCCTGACTCCAACTCGGGCAAATGGTGTTAGGAGGCGCCCGAGGCCTGCGAATCATCGCTTTGCCTTCCATTTATCATACGCTTGACCTCTGGGAGACCTCCTTCGCGCGTGTAATCACCATCTCACACACACATGCGGTACGCTATGCAGCTTTTGTCACCAAACCTAACACTCCATTAGGTTCAACTTCTCAATCGAATGAGATTCAGATGTAATTGAAACATTGTTGAGGTGATAAAATATTAGAAACCCTTCGTTGTATAATGCGGTGCAATTCGACATGGTGGGGTTGTTAAATGAAAAATAACTGCACTGTACGCTGGTATCACTGTTTTTGTGGATTGTATGTAGAATTCATTGGATCGTGTGTCGCTCGCTCCGAGTTCCTCAGATTAATGAAAGCGGTGCTTGGCACCGTCCCCACACTAGACGGGGTAGACTGGGCCGCTCCCTCAAAACAGGCTGAGTGAGTTTGGCAAGATGCTCCGTGTGGTTTGACAAAAGCAGACGCGATTAAGCCGCCTTAATTTTTTCCAGCACAATATGTCTCCTTTTCAAACCCAGCTGCAATTGTGACCATTCATTGTGGGAAATGCTGATTTCTAGCCTCCTTGATGATTTGCTCATTTGTCCTTTTAATGAAGCGTCATTCAAGCTTAAAGGGTGCAGATGTGCACTCATTATGCCGTGCAATATGTCAAGGGGGGGGACCCCGTTTTCCTCGCCACCATTTCATTCGTCCACTCGCATGCAGCCGAGCTCCGGACAGACAGACAGAGACTGACAAACGTCGTGGCCCTTTGGGGTGGGGGTGGGGGGCACTGGCTGACGTTGAGTGCGCCTCGGTGTGTTTTGGACGCAACCCGGAGGAGGAGAAGAACCCGCGGGCTAATCTTCTTATGTAAGCGCCCATTCAGTTGACGGAACGCTCGC